TCATGACTGTATCGCGGCTACGAAGAGATGATACGATGTCTTGCTTTATAGAAACCAATTTTTCAATCTGCTCCGCGACTTTGGTGGTCTTTGTTATCTGCTCCATTTCGCATTGCATAACCATCTCCGCAAAAGCCAATTGCTGCAGTGTCACTCCAAGGTTGACGCCGTCCCTCCTCATCTGAAAAACCTTGGTGAGTGCCGTCTTGAAGGCAGGGGCGCCCCAAGGATCTTCGCCGCTCCATCTCCACGTTTTATTTTCCTTCATCTCTGCTCGCATCTTGTTGCGAGTGAGGAGCTGGTGATCTTTTTGCTGCGACCGCACAAGAGGGATCCCTTTTTCAGCCCAAAACCAATGTTTCAGTTGCCATGTTATTTCCCCACGCACGGTCGTCATCATTCCGTTGCACTCCCCTATGACTGTTCGAATCCCGCAGGACGCTACGTGTGAACGCAGTCCTTCCTCCGCAATCTCCCCCACCAGTTTGGCCGTGGTTTGCAACGATGTGAAAAATGCATCCTTTGTAGGGTACAGAGTTGCGTCCTTTGCTGCGGAGAACGTAAAGGCTTTTGCGACTGAGCGGACAACTTGCCCCTCATTCTTTTTGTGAATGCGCCGGACTCTTCATTCACTTGATGTTGTCCTCCAGTATTCGCGCACACTTTTGCTTACGAGTTCGTGTCATCTGTTGGGAGACAGACATCACAACGCACATAACAATATTTCAGAACTCGGCAGTCCAGATACATTTTAGCACTAGCGACATTCGGCAGTCCATTTCAACCGCATGTTCATCAAAGTCAAATCCTTGTTTCAACGATGTGCCTGAACTTTGCGAGTTCGAATGTAATCGTTTGCCAAGGGCAGCAACTGCAGCGCACTTTGTTTACCTTTTCCAACAGGATTAGTGTGCCTCACTATTTGTCTGCCAATGGAAGGCGTGTCGGCAGCGCTGCCCTCGTGCGTCGTGTTCCTCTCGGGGACCCTCGTGCGTTGTGTTCCTCCCGGGGACGGGGAACTCGCTCTTCTAGATGCGCTTCTATCGTCTTCGGCTGACCCATCGTCACTCTCTTCGTGCACGGTGCCGTCGTCACTCCCGCCGTCGTCGTCGTCAGCCTCGTCAGTGTCGCGAGGATGTTCGTGGGAGGTCTCACTGTCGTCGACCTCGTCCCTTGACGCGTTGTCATCCTCCCTGTCCGACTTTTTCGATGAGGGGTGGTCGTGTTCCTCCTCTGATTCCTCTGGGGCTCCGCTATGCATATCGTCCGACCCTCTCAGATCGATCATGTCCACCGTTGTGTCCTTTTTGTAGGAGATTCTCTTCTTTGTCCTGCGGTGCACCTTTGTGATTTTATCTTCCCGCGACCTCTTCTCGGGGGCCCTGGGCGGACGGTTCTCGGCACCGCTGGCACGGCTCCGTGGGGCGGGAGTCGAAGGGGGGGACTCATTGCGTTCTTTCAGCTTTGAAAGAATGCGCTGACTTGATGAGACTGAAACTTTTGATCCATGCTTTCGCTTGCTGGTGTGTTCCGTTTTCGCATTCTCAGATCCGCTTTTGCGATGCTCTCTCGAATCTTTTTTCTTTTCGGCCTTCGATTTCTTCCTCTCCTTGTCCTTCTTTCCCGCGACCTTCAAAGACCTGCACAGATCCTTGTATTTTGGCCTTGGAGCCATTGCCCTGTTTTCCCCACATACATGAAAGTGGAAAAAGAACAACAACTGCGTCAACAATATTGTGTGTCGATCCATGCCTCTCTATAGTGTCGGGGGGCCGCATTGAGAGAGAGAGAGAGAGAGAGAGAGAGAGAGAGAGAGAGAGAGAGAGAGAGAGAGAGAGAGAGAGAGAGAGAGAGAGAGAGA